TGTGTGTATTTGTGTATCAGAGAGAAGAGGTGTTGTGCAGAGATTCACCCTGGTGATTGAATTTAATCAATGTAACAATGAACTGATCTGCTGTATAACTGGCCTTTGTTTTGGTGCAATTATGGAGAGAAGATTACATGTGCCATTGTCCCTCCCTTCAAAGAGATCACATTCCACATGAGAAAGTAAGACGAACACACGTGAAGTAATTGGTGAGCAAGTAGGTTATACAAGTATGTAGCAAAGAGCGTCAATTCCTGAAACCTAGCTGTTGGCTTACCTACCTAAAGCTATCGTTGGGGGATGTGAAATTGCATCAGTACCTCTGTGGAGCCCTTTCAGGAGCTGTATTTTGTAGTAGATGTTGTGAGGAATACAAAGCAGGGTAAATTCCATTTGTTACCTTCAAGAAACATAATCTATTTGAAAATATAAGGTTAACATCCACGAGAAGACACAAGAAGGGAAGGCAATAGGCATGTACTATTACTGGCTGAGGCATGCAGCCCAGGAAGTGATGAAGGCAGGCTTCGTGGGTCATCAGCTAAGTCACATATGAAATCGGTCTTAAGCTGTCATTGAAGGAGCAGTAGAATGGAGATTAGAGGAAGGAAGGGTCCACGTGTAAAGGTGAGGCTTTCGGGATGGTTGTACTCTGTGACAGCTGAAGTGGGAGACTCATTTTGGTAGAAGTAGAAGGAAAAGCTGAAAGATGGAAGGAAAGGGCAGATGGCTTTGAATGACATAAATGAACAGTTTTCATTTTGCCATAAAAACTCAGATGTAAGATGGGGTGATAAGAGAGGACCAGATCTATGGATCTTTTTAGGGAGTGTGATACTTTTAAAGAGTCTTTGGATCGATATGTATGTGAATGAATTTGAGGAAAATAATTCTTTACCAGTCAATTTTCACATTAATCCCATAGTCATAACATGGTTAGAAACGCTATTCTACTTTACTTTGTTCTTGGCTTTCTGAGTATTTAAGGGTTTTGCATAGGTCTCAGTATGATACATCCACAATTACGTATTCTACCCTTCTCCTTCATATGGTAAGCACTTTCCATCCGTTACTGTGTAATCTGCTGAAGTGAAGCAAGCATAGAGATTGCACAGCCTCTCCAATTTGTGAATGGTAGCTTTTATCAAAGTATACATGTCAAAATGTATTATAACATAAAATATTAGCATTGCTTACTGTGTCTGGGAAATTGGTGTTGTTTGCATTCAAATATTTCCCTGCAGCAACCTGTTTCATCAGTCATTTGGAAATCTTGTAACCCAGTAGTTTCATGGAGCTTTCCTGACCTCTTGGTGGGCACATTTGGGTACTATGCGACCTGCTGCACAGGAGAAGGCTTCATGGGAAGGGATGTAGCCCACAGGCTGGGCAGGCTGTGACGGCGGTTCTGGGGCCTCGTTGTGAGCTGGCTCCGTACCTTGGACAGAGCAGAGGCAGAGAAGTCATTTGGCTGCCTGCTGGATTTGTGGGGCTCGCAATGGCCCATTTGCTGGGATTAACAGAGGCCTGGCCTAATAAATGTGTCTACTTGCCTAATAGATTTGAGTAAATGAACCTTAAAATTCTTGATTTAATTTAACACTGGGCACCAGATATCAGGGCCAATGAAGAACTCAAGAGTCCTATTGAGTGCTGCAGCTTTGCAGGGAAGGTGAAATCAGCCATGATGCCATAACTGCTGATGAAAAACAAAAGCAAGGTGGAAGAGAGAATTAGCCTGTGCCATTCCCTTAGCACAGACATCAGTGGCCTGCCACCCTCAAACGGCTCCACTCAGCACAGTGTGTCAGCTGTGGCTCTAGGCCAGACAGGCTGGCAGAATGGCCTGTGCTTGCCCACCTCAGATGGCATTCCTCCTGCCCTACAGCCCTTCACCCTTGTGTGCTCTAGTACTCCTAGGGACACAGCCAGGTGGAGATAAGATTCAGTCTACCTGGGACACCATGGTGCAGGACAGAACCATCACCCAAGTCTTGAAATAAAAAGAAGGTACAAAGAGAGAAGACCACGTACACCAGTAGTGAAGGTTTTCCTTAGATAGAACAATGCCTAGTTGTGACAGGTAAAATGAGGTAAGAGACAGCTGAGGACAGTAAAGCACAAGGGAGGGCCAGTGTAATGTAGCTGTGGTCTGAGTTACACAAGGAGCCAGGGAAATGAAAGCACATTGATTATTCCTTTTATAATTTCCCCAGTATTGTATTTTAAATTTTTCACACACACACTGAAGTTGAGTTTGGCAGTGAACATCCACATGGCCAGCACTTGTCACCTGTCATTAACATTTACTAGGCTTGTTCTATGACATTTTGATCTTCTATCCTTCCATCCATCTTTTTTTTTTCATTCTTTCAAAATGAATTTGAGAAACTTATATGCTTTATCTTAAATGACTGAGCTTGTAAATCATTAACTACAGTTCAAACTTACTTGACAGTGTACCGCGGTGCTATAATATATGTTAACAATGGAACAGACAGGTTTGCCATGGGCACTTAGTGAGTGTGATGAAGGCATTTGCTTGTGCATCCCAGACTCCTGTCAAGGTACATTACACTGTCATCATCCCAGGAACTTGTGTTCTGCTCCTTATCAGTCAGGTTCCACCCCAATCCCAGAAACAACTACTACCATATTTTCCGAGATTATACTCTCCTGTTCTAGAACTTCATGAAAATTTAATCTTACAATATTTCTTGGCTTCTTTCACCTCTTATATTTTGTGGATTCATATATATATATATATATGTCTTTTCTATTTCTTGTATACATATACTATTGTTCCTTTATTTACTCTGTTGAAGAATTCCTAGGATATTACCAATAAGCTTCTGTGAGCTTTTATTGTTATTGTTGATGTTTCTCCCATTGATTAAATTCCTAGAATTGCAATTGCCATATCATAAAATATAAAATAGTACAACCACTGCAGAAAAAAAAGTTCTTGCAATTTTTTTTATAAAACTAGACATTTTCCTACATGGTTGTAATATTTTACATACGCAGCAAAATTATGTGAGAGTTCTAATTTGCTCAACAATTACAAGATTATTTGGTATTATCATTTAAAAATTTTAACCACTCTGCTAGATGTACAGAGGTAGATTATTTTGTTTCCATTGGCTGTAAGTAAAGTGACGAAGCAACTGAAGGCCTCTGACAGAGTGACCTGATGGGCTGACCAATAGGAACTAGAAATTGTGCCTAATTCCACCTGCCAGTCTCTCAGACTCCTTTGCTGAGTGAGTTCTCACAGATCTTCTATCCCAAACCTTGCTTTAAATGGATAAAGAAAAAGATCCCAAAGGTGACAGATTTGCCCAAAGTCACTCATAAATACAGCATAAGAGCCAGGGTTTTAGGTCACTGTTCTTGGTGTGTTAGAGATGGTAACAGCGTGAGGCATTTACACCCCCTTGGTCCACAGCCACGTGTCAACCCCACGCTGACCGCAGCTCCTTCTCCAGCAGGACCTCAAACAGTCTTGGGTGCCAGGGTGTGCCTAGCAGATCTGTCTGCACTGCATCCTGTTGGTTCAGAGGTGCCACCTTGTCCATACCGTCCCTGAATCATGCGTGCAGAAGACTGCTCAGACCCTCAGAGGGGAGGATGCATGGCTTTACACACTTCCTTCTCTTTAATTTAGCAAACAGATAAAAAAAAAAAAGTGTTGGAAATTGAAGGCAATATCTCTCATCTTTCCCAACACCAACCATCAGCCAGGTTATACAATAGAACTAAAGGGTTGGACATATAGCTCAGCATCTGGAAAGTGTGAGGTCGTGAGATCAATTCCCGGTACAAAAAAAAAACAAAATAAAGCAAAACAACTACAGAGTTTTAAAGTAGAAAAAAAAAATCAAATTACTGTTTCAGAGGCCACATGACAAGTTGTGAGCTGGAAAGGGATTTCAGAGCTGCAGAGGAAACAGTGAGCACTGGCTCTCAGATCCCCTGCAGGGGCTGTGTGCTCATCCAGCCCTGCGTGGGCAGCTGAGTGCGGCCCACACCCTCCCTTGCCCGGCAGTGGGCTGCGTTACTGTGCACCCTCCCGAGGTTGTCCTGAGTCGGCTCAGCAGCTTGTGGCACCTCTTTACCATCTCCTTGGGATCAGGCCCTTGCTGTGATGGCTTGCCTTCCAAACAATAGAGAACTTGAGAGATCCGAGCCCTGTGGTAAGCACTGAACAGTGACTGTCGGTCTCAGGATCTGCCCCTCTCCTAACACACGCCTGCTTTTACCAGGATCCTAGTTTGCAGGGGAAATGCAATTATTTTATTTCTCCCTGTGACCTTGAAAAGTATGTAGGATATTCAGGAAAGAGAAGAGGAAAATAAAAATTAAAAACATTATTGTGGTTATGTTGTGTACTACCTAGATTAATAAAAATGGTAAAATACATTGCAATGGAAAAACAGATGTAAAACTAAAGTCAACTCTAGGACCATGCATCTAATTCACATATATCGTATAAATATAAATATAAGTACATATATATGAATGACAATTATGTCTAGAGTAAGGGATACAGAAGGAAGTAAACTGTTATCACTCTCCGAAAGATCGTACAGGCCCGTGGAATACAGGATGAAAACACAAGTGATGCTAGATACGGGGGAAGAAAAGAAATGATCTCCTATTCCCAGAGACAGCAGGACCAGGTTACAAAAGCTGCTTCTACTTTGCCCCAGGAGGAAGAACAGAATGACATGAAAAATCTAAAGTGTTAGGTCTCGTTCTCTTTCTTCAGGATTAACGGTTTATAATGTCTTTTTAGGGTATTAATATCGTCCTAGACCCTGGAAGAATGATTAGTGTTAGGAAGCTGAATAAAAGTCTTGCCTTGTTTTCGGAGTCTGGGTTCCTTGGGAACAATCTGCTGTGCAGATTTGTGACGTCCTGAGATTGACCTGCAAGGGAGGGAATCTGATCCCCGGCAGAGGGCTAAATGGTATTGTTCCTTTTCCTTCCTTCAGCCCCTCATCACCCTGGACAGCAGCATTTCCTTCACGTTCCTGGAGGAGGGAACCAGCACCATCACGGTCCAGGTGGCTGCTGGGAACGCCCTCATCCAGGACACAAAAGACATTGCAGTTCATGGTAAGCCCTGAAAATGTCCTTCCATATGCCCTCTTGCCCACCAATTTCCTTTCTTTAAAATTGTTTTTATTGATACATTTTGGATATACATAATGATGACATTCATCATAGGGACTTTGTACCTGAATATGGTGTATCTTGCTTCTTTTTTTTCATTCCCATCCCCTCCCTTCTAGCCCTCTTCCCCTGCTTATTTATAACATCTTTGTGTCCTTTTTTCCCTTTTATTCACTCTTTCCTGTACCTTCTTTCTGTCCCCTCCCCGCTCCCTTGTTCCCCTTTTCTTTTGGAAATTTTGTTCCCACTTCCCAATATCTATTATACATTTTGGTCTTTATTTACACTTTCAGTTTCTCACATCAGAGAAACAATACAGTATTTAAACATGCGTGTCTGATTTATTTCACTTAAAAGTATGGTCTCCATTTAGCTAGAAATGTCTCAAGTTTATAGTCCTTTATGGCAGAATAGTACTCCATTGTATAAAAATGTCACATCTTTCTTATCCATTCATCAGTTGATGGTGGACATTTAGGCTATTTCTAAGATTCAGCTATTACAAACTATGCTGCTATGAACAGGTTGTGCATATATTGTTGTGGTGTGATGCTTTTAATTCCTTTGGGAAGATACCAAGAAGGGGATTAGCTGGGTTGGATGGGACCTCTAGTTTTAGTTTTTTTGAGGAATCTCCACACTGATTTCCACAGTGGTTGCTCCACTATACACTTCCACCAGCAGTGGAGAAGGGTTCCTTTATCCCCACAGTCCCACCAGCATTTGTTACTGGCTGTTTTTTGATAATAGCCATTCTTTCTGAGAGCGCTGGCATTTCTTGTGTCCTGTGGTGTGTCTACATCACAGCCTATTTGGGCTTGCCAATAGACAAGTATTAGAAGTTGAAGCAATGCTAAGCTGGAAAGACTGTTAGCATTCCTATAGGAGGAAGCTAGATCTCTTGTCCTGGCCTACAAGGCTCGTACAGCACCCATTCTTTATATGCTGGGAACCACTGATTTCCACAGCTGCAGAAGTCATGATCCTGCCTTCAAAGAACTCATAATAGGTTATGAGGTGATCTACACAGAACGCATGTGTTTTCTTAATTGTTGGAGATTCTAACACCATTGGTTGCAAAGACCTGATAATAAGGCATAGATGATAGGCTTGAAGACAGGCATGAGAAAGTAGTAACAGCGTCCCCTCCTGTTCTCAGTCCTGGAGAACCACTCTTAATTACTAAGTTTATTTTAAATGAAATCAACTGTGCATCTATCACTGTCCCACACAACCTTCCCAGATCCCTAGACACAGCTGCTGTCACTGTGGCCTTCTAGAAAGTTGTACTAAGATACATGAGCCTCTGACTCTGACCGTATTTATTCAATTTCACCCTAGTGATTCCTTTTCTCTAGCTCTCTAGAAATTTGTTATTAGGATTCTTTATGAGGCACATGGAAGTTTTCTTTTTAAGCAAACATTTTCATTGAAGTCATAAACCTTATACCTAAACACTATGCAGATCACAAGTGTGTAGCTTGACGGATTACCACAAAGTGAATCAACCTGTGTACTCCTCAACTCAGACAAGAAACTGAACATTATCCATACCATACAGATAAGGTTGCAGCCTACTTCCTGTTCCTCTGAGGCAGGCTCTAGCTCAGACAGCACAGGACTTGGAGGATGGAGAAGTGTGAGCTTCCTTTCCAACCAAGTCTGCACTGCTAGTCCTGTGGGTGGCTCCCAGAGGTTAGTCCCGGGAGAGCAGCACTGTCCTCGTGCAGTTGCCTGCTTACTTTCATATCAGACAGTGTTCTTCACATTAAGAAAAGCTGAAAAGCAGAGGAACTGACAACACTAGGTGCAGCTCAAATCTACCTCCAGTTGCCAAGTTTCACTTTCTTTCAGGAGCCAGGAGCTAGGCTGAGAATAAGGAATGACAGCAGAAGTATGGTGGAAGTGTAGCCTCTTCCCTCTGTATGGGGGCAGCAGCCTCCCACCGATCCCGCCCTCACCCATCTCACCGGCACATTCTCTCTCCCTGCAGAATACTTCCAGTCTCAGCTCTTATCCTTCTCTCCCAACCTGGATTACCACAATCCTGACATTCCTGAGTGGAGGCAGGATATTGGCAACGTCATCAAGAGAGCTCTGGTTAAAGTAAGTTGGCTTTAAGAATGAACTAGAAGGTTCGAACATTAAATGCTTTTAAAATAAATTAAACTACTATTTTCCAGATAAATAAGGATTACTGCTCTGTGAGAAGAGGGAGTGAGGGAAGAGGGAAGAGAGAGAGAAGAGAGGGAAGGATAAAGTCCACTCTGTTTGAAGATGGAAATTGGCCCATTACTTATTCTAAATATAGCTGAGACAGAAACAGAATTGCTTTAGTGGACAGATGGATGGGCTAATATGCACTCAGCTGCCTGTTCACTCATGAATTGCCAGGTATCTAGATTCACTGGCCTACCATTGGACACACAGAGCATTCCAAAGGTTTCAGGCCAATACACAGAGGTACAGAATTAAGCAAAAGTCAGATTTGCCTAAGAGAAAGGAAAATAATTTTGTGAATCCTCTCAGAGCTGCACAGTAAAATATAAGCATTAATAATATGCATTCAATTCAAATGTTAAATGAGTCTAATATGCAATTAGCTCTATGTTAGAGGCATGGCCAACGTCTCCAAGGAAGTGGAAAAAAAGTAGGATTCTCCCTATCGAGGGAAGGGCAAGCCTGGCACCAATTTGCAACTCATAAATACTTATCAAGCTACTGAAATGATTTTGGAGGGAGCTGTTTGAACTGTGCTTCAAAGGTTATATGTCCTTTAACAAAGAGAGGACAGCATCTTCCTGGTACAGCAAATGCAAACCCATGCACTACTGAAAGAGTGCACGCTTGGGAAAGTAGCATGAGCTTGGTGTCACTCATCTATAACTTGTACAAATAAGCATGGCTGAAATTTTGCTAGGACAGTCAGGCCAGATTGTGAAGGATCTGTGAAGCTAAATAGTGCTTGGTCTATATTCTGTAGGCAGTGACACTTTATGTAAGTGAGGAAATGCTGTAGACATCCATTGTGATGGCAATACACAGGAAAAGCTGCTGAGAGTGGGGTAGGAAAGACGTAGGATGGGAGAGACAGTTCACAAAAGATGGGCAGTTGTCTAGATCAGGCATAATGAGATACTGTGGAGGAAAGAGGAGAAGATTTTAAGAGGTTGGACCGTAGGATAGAGAGTAGTAAGTTAGTGTGTGTGCAGGGAGGGAGTTTTCTGATTACAGGGATGGGCAGGATACGGCCTCGCCATTAGCCAAGGTGGGGACCATGTAGCAGAAACCTGCTTGAGGCACAATAATGGTTTGATATTTGCTGCGTTTGGAGCACATGAGAAATGACTGGGTGAAGATGACCAGGAGAGGTGAAAAATAGGGTTTCACATCAAGCAAAGGATCTTGCAGAGGCACAGATTTGAGAGCCAAAGCTGTGGAGATCAGGGGCTCCCCCAGGGAGACTTGATCAGGGAAGTCGTAAGTGACAGTGCTCCCCGAGGCAGAGCTTAATGACCCAAGGAAAGAGGAGGTTTTGAAGGAAAGGAAGTAAAACTAAATACACCCCTGTAAATATTGCCTGCAAGAGCAACTTCAAATTGTTGTATAAAAAGGTTGTTCATAGAAGGTGAGATGGCAGTGTGTGCTGCCTCATTCTGTTCAAGAGACCATGGACTTACAGATAATAGAAGTTTATGTCTCGTGGGGGTGGAACATGTAGCTTGATTGTAGAGTGCATGCCTAGTATGCTTGAGGCCCTGGGTTCAGTCCTTAACACCAACTAAAGAAGAAATTTAGGTCTTATAACTCTGAAAGCTGGACAGTGAAGATAGAGGCACTGGAAGGTTGAGTGTCATGACTCTTATGTGAGACTTTCTCACTATGTCTTCGCATGGTGGGAAGAGATAAAGCAGCTCTTTGGTGCCTTTCTAAAAAGGGATGGATCCTATCCAAAAGGGCTCCATCTTCATGGTTTAATCACTTTTCAAAGGCCCCACCTCCTATTACCATCACATTAATGAATAGGTCTCAAAGGTAAGAATTGTAGGAGGGACAAAAACATTCAGACCACAGCATATGTCTTTGACTATAGCATCCAGAGTTGTGCTGTATTTTGTATGGTTGCATTCATTAAAACTTATTCCCTTCTTGAGAAGTAATTTGGTGATTATAACACTACTTCTGCTAAATAATAATAGCCATGTCCATTGATGCCTAAGCCTTAAATCTCAGTAGTACAAATCACAGGCACATTGTTTAGGACAGGATTAAGTGCTTGTAGATGCACAGCTAGAAGGCCCCTCCCAGGTATTTGACTGACAGTTCCCAAGTTCTTGGTGAAAGACAGGGTCACACCAGCCAAAGGCTCTGGGGAGCTCATCCCCCTCCACTCTGGTCAGTGACAGGTGGGAAAAATAAGCAGAGGGAAAACTCACTCCATGCTCACCCATTTTTTTTTTAAAAGAATTTGCCTTTAGACAGAAGCCAACTGTTAAGTTTTTATCATAAAAGCAACATGATCCTTTTACTAAACACCCAGGAATGGAAAAATTCACTCATAATCTCAGCTCTTAACAATTTTTTGTATTTTGGATTTTTTCTATATACTTATACCTTTAATAGATTGTAGCCAAAGGAATTTTAAGAGCTAGATCAGAATGCAACCCTCCTCAGGGTTTCTCTGACTGCCTCATGGCGCTCCTTACCATGCTACAGCTAGAGGACTATTCTACCAGGCGATTCTCCCATCTTAATACATTTTTGAGTATCTGAATGTATCCTGTGTACTTGCTATTTAAATAAAGTTGTATTTTTCCTGCATATGGCTTTTCCTATATTTTGGATCATGTCTTAGGGCTATCTCGCCAAGTTACAGTGGCTGAATGAACAATGTGACTATTTTTATGGACTTCAAGTAAGTTTTGTAGAAAACAAATTGGCAAAGTGTGTCATTTTTTAGTGCTGCCACCAGTAAACCAAGGAACCTCCTTAATGCAACTGTACTCATGTTAGCCACTAAACTTTGCAAAAAAGAGCTGCTCTAAGTGAAAAGAGGTGCTCTGCTATTTTTAAATTTGCATTTCCCCGTGTTTGTTTATAACTGTTTATTCCTCATTTGCTGCCAGACTGTTCCTGTTTTAACCAGAAACTCTCACCCTCTCAGCACAGAGAGGTGGAAAATACGGGAGGAACTTTTGCAAAAGCTCCCAGCAAATGATGTTTTAGAAAATTATTTGCAACACTACTGAGTTTTAGGAAAAATGTATCTAAGAGTACAGGAAACGGTGAATCCAGTAGTTCTTTTCCTAACAGTTTGAGGGAAGACAGAAAGGAAGGTTGGATGAGCCTAAATGCTGAGTGGAGAAACCTCCTATGAGGCCCAGCTGTGCATAGTGCACTTCTGGTACTGGAGGGTGGGGAAGACCAGAGCCTGCAGTCTGCCCCAGGACCTTACGCTTTCCTCTGAACCTTTGCAGGTCACCAGTGTCCCAGAAGAGCAGATCCTTGTCGCCGTGTTCCCTGGCCTCCCCACCTCTGCGGAGCTTTTCATCCTTCCACCCAAGAATTTGACGGAGAGGAGGAAAGGCCACGAGGGGGATCTGGAACAGGTAGGTGAAGAAGGCGAGGCTAGGACCTTGGCTGCATCCCTCACTCAGGGTTGCTTCAGGCCAACAAGCCCTCTCCCACTGACCACCAGCCTCCTGCTCTTTGCTGAACACCTGCGCTTTTGAGGAAAAATCAGCTCACCTAAAATAAGCACGAGTGCAGATACTGAAGCCTTCAGCCATACCTGAAGTTATTCATTCCAGTGGTTGGCATCCCTGACCCTTCCTCTTGTCCTCCTCCCAGTCACTCCTCCCAGGGTGGGGTGGCAGACAGAGAGAGAGAGAGAGAGAGAGAGAGAGAGAGAGAGAGAGAGAGAGAGAGAGAGAGACCCGAGTCTCCCTTTCCTTGAGAATATGTGCTTCTTGTCTTTAAGTGAACTGACCCTAGAGATCCTAGCTAATTTAAGTTCTGCTTCTGGAGAGAAAATGAACAGGTTTTAAGTAAGTTTCTTTGGAGAGAGATGGATTGCCTCATCTGAAAAGTATTTCGAGAAGGGATTGTGACTCACTGTCCTTATAGACTGAGCACAGAGTCCCTGCGGTCTGCCCACCATCCTGGAAGCACAGGAGTGGCCATGCCACTTGGCTCCCTCTCCTACTCTGCCGGGTCTTATTGGCTGCGTTCTGTGTCACTGTCCCCTGCTTCCCAGGATGCTCAATCAGGAGAAAAACCTAGGTGTGGCTGAGGCTGCTCAAAGCCAGTGTAAATCAAAAGCCTTGATCCGGTGTGAAGTCGTGTTTCCCACTCTTTCTGTGTCCCTCTCATGCTCCGCCAGCCTCGCTGTCACTCACCCCTACACCCACCCACAGTGCTCAAGCACCACAGCTGCTACTACAATGCATTTTTCTGGAATAAGAAACAGTTTCTTTGTAGGGCCACAAAACTGCATGTGAAGCTGGCCAGAAATAAAGTCAGCTTCTCAATACATGCCTCATTTTACAAGACCTCTTTATTCTGAAATAGCAAGCGGCGTGTGTGAAGTATATTTGGAAGCTACAATATCCATCCATTTAGATAAATAGGTAATTACAGTGATGAATGGCAGCTGTGATATTAAGGCGCGTACAGAGAGATAAGACTGAGGGACAACAGCCCGAGTCTGCCTCAGCTTTCATGTGGGAATTACGGAGTGATTAAATCGATGTTATGTGTTCTGAGACTTGCTGGGGAAAAGTAAAGAGGAAAAATTATCCCATAAAAAGGAGGCAGCTCCTGCTTTGATGTTTGCCTCCCATTGTGCCTAAGATAAAAAATGCAGAGGCATGGGCTGTGTCTGTGCGTGCCTGCTTTAATCCCGGCAGGGGACTCTGCGCCCTGGGAGTGTTGCTTGATCAGATTAAAGAGCTAATGATGAGTTCAATTTCCTCCACTGGAACTCACAACAGGTCTTAGATTACAGAAAGACCTGGGGGAAATTACCCCGAGGGAGGAGTTGAAGACATCTGACATCCATCAGAGCTCTGGTGTGCTGGGTGACTGTGGACACACCTCTTTCCATCTCTTCTCTCCAGTGTAAGCAAAGGATATTGAGTGCTTCCTTGGTTTCCCAGGGTCTGGGGATTGTGAGAACTAAGGTGATATACCCGCTTCTGTCCCAATATTCCATTCTTGATTGACTATGGTCATTTTTTTTTAATCACAGACACATCAAGGAGAATCATCACACACCGTGTCCTCTCATGCAGCCTCTGTCTTGTTTTCCAGATTGTAGAGACTTTGTTCAATGCTCTGAATCAGAACTTGGTCCAGTTTGAGCTGAAGCCAGGCGTCCAGGTCATTGTGTATGTCACACAGCTGACATTAGGTGAGTGCCTGCTGGGAGTCAGGGGACCTGGTTGTCTTAGTTACTTTTCTTGTTCCTGGGACAAAATACCCGACACCCAGTTAAGGGAGGAAAGGTTTATTTAGCTCACAGTTCGTGGAGGTTTCAGTCTGTAATCAGCTGGCTCCAAGGCAGGGTGGCATTGCACAAGAGCAGTAGTTCAAAGCAGCAGAAGACAGCAAAAGCAGCAAGAACAAAAAGGAGAGTGAGCAAGCCTCTTTTCCTCCCTTATATTGTAAGCAGGGGCCCCTCTGTAGGGCAGGTATAGCACTCACTAACCCTGTGCCCTCCTCTTGCACAGGTTCAAGATGTGTACAAAGTGAGGGCTCTGGCTCCTGCTGAGTCACTTAGTTAAACTTCTAAGGTTGACACAGTGTATAAGCCCTTACAGTGGGGATGACACTCTGTGTCCTGCAGAGAAAAGGGAAGGGAAAACACAGAAGACTTCCACAAATGCTTGACAGCAGTGTTGTAGCAGGACCGCAGGTATAGTGAAGGTTCAGGGAGATGAGGCCTGTCTCTCTGGAGCCCTGAAGAGGGAGCAGGACAAGCTTCTCAGGAGTAGCTCTGCTGCTGAATCCTGGGTCATAGTGGACAAAACCTACCTTTCCTTTGGCCTTAACTTTCTGTATTTACTTGTTTGTTTTATTTGTGACAATCTGGGTGGCACTGGGTGGTCTTCAGGCTCTTTGATTGTCTGATTCTGTAAAGCTCAGATGGGAGGTCAGATCAGAAAACCCAAGTATTCCTTTGCAGTTTATGATGTGGGATCTAAGTAGAAAGAGATACTGGCTCTAGCTGGTTGTATGAGGAAAGGAATAAAACGGGCATGTCCCATTGGGCATCTGCTGTTTGTTGGTGACCACCCACTTTACAGAAGCAGAGGTCCCAAATGTACCCATCCAGGGTATCATACCAGAACAGTGTAGAAAAAGAGAGAAACATTGCATTAGGTGTTTACCCCATGGTTCCCAGTGCACTGGCACACCAGCACTCAGGACATCTCAGGAAAAAAAGAGCATTCAAGCCCTTCCTTTGCTTCCTGAAGCTGAACACACATCTTTCAGTCCATGGCAAGCACAGCAAGTTTCCCTGGACGCAGCAGAGGAGTTAATTTTCTTGAGCACACTCTTCTCACGGGTAGCTAAGATGCCTATGCCCAGACCACAGGCAGGGCTGCTGAGGCCTACAAGGAAGACTGGGTCTGACCTAGCGGGTTCCCCACCCCCAGCCGCTAGCTCCAAAGTGAGAACCTTCCTCCTTTGCCGCAGCCCCGCTGGTGGACACTAGTGCTGGACACAGCAGCTCAGCCATGCTTATGCTCCTGTCCGTGGTGTTCGTTGGCCTGGCTGTATTTCTGATCTACAAGTTTAAAAGGTATGTGCTGCTTTATTCAGTTTTCATCTGGGGTGAGGATCACTGCATATGATTCTTCCTACAGCCAACATTCCTAAACTCATCTCGAGAATCGGCTCTTTCTTACCTGAAAGCTCCGTTTGGCACTGGGAAAAAGCAGGAATAAACAGGAATAAACGAAGTACAGAAGTTTAAAATGTAAGGGATAAAAATGTGAGGGTTTATACACTGTGTCAACCTTAGGAGTTTAACGAAGTTTAACTATGAGCTTTCTTCAGTGTGTAGGTACGGTAAATTAAGAACATGAGGACCCCCCCATGAAACCCTTTTATTCCCCTCAAGAGCAGTGTAAGTGGGTTTAAGCCATCACCCAGATTTCAGATATTTGGGAGATACTTCAAACTATTTGGGGTGGTTCTATTAAAAACAGAAGAAAATGCCCATGAAGTGGACACTCATGTGCACAGTATTTCTCATGTGGCAGCAGCATGGCAGCGCTGTTCCAATTTGCATGCTAAACCTCTGACCTTCATCTTTATCCCTCTTTTGGTGTTTCTAGTGAAAACTGATAAGGAAAATCAAACACCATTGATTTTAAGACATTATTGAAAACAAAACAGGGATGATGTAACAATACGCTTACTGAAAACATGAAATTTAGTGTATATTGACACATCCCTGTAACTCCATTACTCTAGGTGGCTGAGGCAGAATTGCAAATTGAAGCCACGGCTGGGCACTTAGTGACGCCCTGTCTCAAAAAAAAAAAAAAAATTGGAAAGGACTGGAGATACAGCTTAGTCCAGAGGTCTTGGTATTAATCCTCATACTGAAAAAAAAAACTATGAATATCCAATATACTCAGAGATATTTCAATAAACTTTAAAAAAATTCAAATCAGTAAATCAGTGCCAATATTGAAACTATTTACTACTTCTCCCAGGCAATGAACAAGCTTAGAGTATAAACTCAGAAATCAGGCAGACTCAATTTTAATTTTTGAGATTTGGCAATTTATTTGGGGAATTTTATTTGTTTCATCAAGCCTTAGTTTTCTCATCTGTAAAATGAATAAAACAATAATATTCTATAGGTTTGCTAATGGTTTAAATATACTAATATCCACAACTGGCATAGACCAAATAGTTGAGAAATCTAATGTTTCATAAATCTCAAACAGCATGCCTTCCAAAGGTGCCTTCTGGGTCCTAAAGTGGCACATAGTTGACTCTCAAAAATTATACCAGTGGCACAGAAAGGTGTTCTGGAAGAAGCCTGGGTAAAGTACAAAATACAGTTAATTATTCTCAGATAAGTTTTAAAAACATAGCTTGGTCCTAGGAGTCTTTGTGGGGCTTGATGTTATTCCTTTCAGAATTGGGAGGAGGTTCCTGGTAAAGATGCTTCACTCTCCCCACACTCTTTCCTTCTGTCCTTAGCTCTCCTCCAGTGGCTGTCCTGGTTACTTAGAAACACCAGTTTTGCTCTTTATACCTTTCGGTGTTTGCTACAAGGGCAGGAACTTTTTGACATTCTTCCAGGTCCACTATGAGAAGAGAATGAGATTCACCTTGTTAGTCCAGTTATAGACACATACATGAGTGAGTTCATGTCCTTTGGGCCTGAGAAGGATCAACCTGGCCCTGTTCTTTTGAAGAGAGGGAAAAGCTTTATGGTCACAGTCAGAGAAGGTTCAATACACAAACAGTCTGTTATGGGAACCCCCAGTTATGGATGCAATATAATTTCATGCCAAGATGACTTTCAGTTATCTGAGGATTTGACTGTGGAGAAACCAGGCAATTGCTGGAGTTTGAAGATCAGCTAACGCCAACTGATTGCCTCTAGCACCGAGCACTGCATAGGTGGTGAGGACAGAGGCAAACAGAATTCCTGCAAAGCAGCCACTATATCTGCTGTTCATGTCCCCATGAAAACATGACTTATGCTAGGACTCACAAAGTTTCTTCTCTTTTATAGCTGCTGCTAAACTCCCTAGACAATTCATTACTATAGGCTTCTCTAAATATGTTCAATTTAATACATAATTCCATACCAGGAAATGACATCTCTGAACTTTTGTACCTAGGTAGCTCCCAGTTATCAGCCAGGCCTTTCTATGCCTGCAAGAGCAGAATACGTACCTAAGGCTACAGGAAACAAATGTCAATCAAACCAGACAAATAGCAGAGTCAGTTGCAAGTGACTGGCCATTCGTTAAACTTTACTTTTTGGCCCCTTTGTTAGAAAGTTAACCTCCCAGTGCTCAAGACATCTGGTTGGGATTCTGTTGCATTTTCTTTTCTGTCTTGGGTCTTTTTCTTTTTCCATCCTGTAGATCCCTAATGGGTCATGGTGAGGATGTCTAGCTTGCATACAGGTACGGAGCTCATTACTGAGTAGGTTTTGCTTCTTTCATTATTGTCCCATGGAACTTTCCACAATGATGAAAAAGCTCCATAGCCTATTCTAATATGTAGCCACTGGTATGACCAAGAAATTGGACTTTTAATTTTGAATTTCATTGTTTAAAATTTAAGCAGGTATGCCTGGCTAGCAAACACTGTTTCATGGCACAGTCCAGATGAATGATGGTGAACCATTCAGAGAGTGTAGCCCAAACATACTTATTTATCACAAGGTGCCAACACTGCAGTTAAGCGTGAATATGGAGGTTTTAGTTTAGAAAAATCACACACATATTGATATCCTTTGTCTGAAAAGGAAAACAGCGCATTTTCCATGGATTCACCACCACCGATCTAGATGAAGGGCAGTTCTGTTTCCGTTTCAGATCATTGGCTATGCTGAGTTTTCAGAATCAAAACTTCCTCTCTCCCAACACCAGCATTAAGAAACATAAACATTCATTCAGCAAACATTCATTGAGTGCCAACTATGTGCCAGGTTCTGGACACCACCTACCTGTCCCAAGTGGTCTCTTAGGAGGAGAGCTACAGTGGTTCCCAAACCTCTTCAAGGAAATATCAGCCAGCCTCTCGCCTTCTGTTTTGCTCTTCAGTAGTGGCTGCTGTCCTCAAATTTGAGCTTTTCTGCTTCCTTCCTTCTTGTTTTCAGTAGGGATTTCATCATAGTTCAGCGTCTTCTTTGCTTCCAGTTTTCTCACACTCTTCATAGCTGGAGCAAATGAATATAAACTGCAGCTGTTTGTTTATTTGTCAGCATTTTGGGGGAGACAGGTTTACCCACCTTTCTCCTCTGCTTAAACCTGCGTGAATATGTGGCCCATGGTGTAGCTCTTGATCTCTTTATGCAAAAGTGGGGGTTTGACCTGACTTATATCCCCAAAAGCCCTACAAGTAGTAGGGTTAAGAAATGGAAAGCAACTTCACAGCTTTTTATAACGCTGCAAATTGTGATATAAAATTCAGGCCCTTCCAACCTCCTACTTAAAAACGATGAAAATGTGCCCATTTTGAGATGTGGTTTTAAGAGCTGAAATAAAGTGAGAACCAGTATAAAGGCTAATTCTGCTAAACCTTCATAGATTTCTCTAGCCAAGCAGGAAGGGGAGGCAGTAATGGGTTACAACTCTGAAGCAAGCAGCCTGTATGACCAAGAATGGTTTTCCAGCTCCTACTTCCTAATAAATATTACAGTTGATCCCAGCATGAGTGAGGAATGTCTACTTTCATGATGAGAGAGATTCAAAACCATTAGGCTGCATTTCTATTCAGATAAGAAGATAGCAAGGGCTGCATGAATGTTTAATTCTGGCCATTTATAGGGGCTACCACTTGCTACCATATATAGATATGGTTCATTTAGGGCCTAGTAAGTTATATTAAACTGGTTTAGACTGGTAGGAGTCACAGGTGTACACCCTTTAATGTGTGGGAAACAAATATCAAAGACATGAAAACTGAATTTAAAGAAAAGGTAAAAGCTACTCATGTTTCCAATGTATTTTTAGAGTTTCCCTTTCAGAATGAGCTTTATTACATGCTCACACATTTGGCTTCACTGGGTTTTTGAGTGGGGCAGGATGGGGAGAAGTTTGAAGGTAGCACTGTCTGGCAAAAGAACAGCAGAGGGATTCTCCTGCAGAAATGCACGGGGTGGTGTGGGTTGCAGTTGCTGTCAGATGACCCAGAATGCTGATATTATCCGTGTTATCTTCACCATCATGGGCTTTCTAAAGTGTCGGGACTTCACTGCAGCTCCCACATCATCTGATGGGGTAAGAGGAGTATCTTTTGGATAGGCTAATCCAAGATAAAAATGGAATCATTTAATTGGAGATTATAGTTGATGAAAAGTGGAAAGAGCACAGGCTTTGAATCATTTACTCAACAAATATGCAATGAATATACACCATATGCCAAGAACTGTGCTAACTCAAGTATAATAGCAGTGAAGATAGAAAACACAGCCCTCGCTTTCAGTCTAGAGGGAGAGAAAGGAGCATGGTGGGTCAGGAGATAACAGAGACGAGTGAAGACAGGACTGCCTGGAGGATTCACTCTAAACCTGCCCTCCCTTCCAACCCCAAGCTTGTCTGCCTTCTGTTTCCAACCTATGACCTCCTTGTCAGTAGCTCTTTCCCTTAACATTCGCCATAATCCTGAAAGGAAGCTGCTGTCACCCCCACTGAACAGATGAGGAGACTATCAAGTATTCAAGGAACTTGGCCCAGTGTTTTACACTGAAAATTGTAATAATGGCTTTGAGCTTGCTATATCTTGGGTATGCGTAAAAGAGGTACCAGTGTAACTTGATTAAATTGATGCAACCTTTAAAACTCCAGTCTTTTCACTGTTAGGTTTTCTTTTGGCAGGAATAAAAACCAAAACAAAATAAAAATGCCTTTACTGCTGGCAGGAGAATGCATCAGGGAGGGAGACAGATGGGAGAACCTTCTGAGGGCCTGGTGGGAAGAACAATGGCTATGTAAGGCCAGGCTGGGGGTGGGGTTTAGGGTGTGGTTTGTGTGATGTGGCAGATAGAGATTGGGTAGGGGGCGGGAGAAAGGAAACAGGATACTTTAAAAGGGAAGTAGGAAGTTGTAACCCAGTCAGGGAAGGAGGAAGGCGGGACTTGGCACATGGCCGCCTGTGGACCCCACCATATTGGCTCGCTGCCATGATGACTTAGCAGAATTTTTATTTAGGTGGAAAACCCATTGTTCACCATGTATAATGTTATGTCTCAAAGTACAGCTCCTTTAGGCGCTTAATAACAGGTAGATATCTTTAGGGTTTTAGTGAGTAATTAATCAACACCTCTGCCCTTTTGTTTATAGTTGCTTTTTTTTTTGCTAGTAGCGGGAATTGAACTCACAACCTTGCACTTGCCAGGCAGGTGCTGTGCTGCTGAGCTACATTCCTGGCTCCTATAGTTGCTTATTTTTTTACCCCAGGAAATGACATGATCTCAGGGAGTTCTGTGGTTCACCCCTTCCCTGGGCTTTTGGGTCTCTAACTAGTCTTGCATTCTTGGCCTCATGGCTAATGTCTTTGGGTGACCAGTCCTTTTCTCTGATATTGGATCTTCCTGTTAAGAACTGATTTCCAGGGTTTCTGTCAGTGGCATAGCAACTGCCTGGCAAGTACAAGGTCCTGAATTCGATTCTCAGTACCAAAAAAAAAAAAAAACAGGGCCGGGGATATAGCTCAGTGGCATAAGTGCCTGCCTGGCAAGCGCAAGGTCCTGAGTTTGATTCCAGGTACCAAAAACAAAACAAATAAACAAGGTTTCTGTTTGCCCCAGTTTACTCTAGTTTTGTTCTTATCCATGTAGGAAAATTCCCTGGATTAACATCTATGCTCAAGTTCAACACGACAAGGAGCAGGAGATGATCGGGTCAGTGAGCCAAAGTGAAAACGCCCCCAAAATTACTCTCAGTGACTTCACCGAGCCTGAAGAACTGATGGACAAAGAGCTGGACACCAGAGTCATAGGTATGCATGCCTGTGCCCCTAGGCTCCTCCAAGATCCCCAATCCTCTGTTCTCTCAATACCCACTCAGCATATGACGTTAGCTCTTTCCCACATAGTACTGGTCTGGAAGGCTGGGGAACTGACGGGGTTTTTTGTCTTTTAGAATTCAGTCAAGATTGGAAGCACTGGGGTTACAATAGGGGAGGATGAAACGAAGGATCCTTTACTTGTGGCTGCTTTCTTTTGTTTCTATAAAGCAAAAGCATTATGTGTCCTTATTAGCAGTCCCATGAATGCAGGGTCTGACAGATAGCCCTTGCTTTGTTCTGTGACCTCCTCATGCGGTCCTCTGTGACCTCCTCTACTGTGAAGTGGGAAAAGTAGGACTCAAGAGTCTGTGCAATTCTCTTATGGTGTCTGAGAACTCATTCTGAGGTTGCCATGATAATTAAATGTCACTATGTCATTAACACAGTGACACTCCTTGCTGGTGTTACCAGTAAAGAGGACAGTCCAAGGCAGGCATGGTGGTGCACACCTGTAATCCCCACATTTGGGAGGCTGAGGCAGGAGGATGACCATGAGTTCCAGGCCAGCCTGGGCTACATAATGAGTTCAAGGTCATCCTGGACTGCAGAGCAAAACTCTGCCTCAAAAAAAAAAAAAAAAAAAAAAAAATCCCCCAAAACAGATGATCGTACACTATATTTACTCTGCCAGTGCACTATTGTAGGGGATGGCATGTGTCTAGCATGTGTGGCAGGAGCCAGTACGCTGACCAGAATATCCAGCAGCCCTGGTAAGCACCAGCTGTCGGGGCTTGGCATTTAGTAGTGCATGAAACAGGGACCCTACCCTTATGGAACTTAACCCTTTCTTCTCTGCATCTTCTCTCCCTGCAGGAGGCATTGCCACCATTGCAAACAGCGAAAGCACAAAGGAGATCCCCAACTGTACGAGTGTTTAACACCCACCGGCCACGTGTTCAGCCACCTTTCTGACATTTTATTTTTGATGACTTTATTATTATTATTATTATGGAAAATTGAAAATGTCTTTTTTACCTTTTGTTTACCAAGGGCCCCCCCCCTTATAAATAGCAGGCAGATACTTAAATTTGGGGAAAAGGGGCAGTCTTAGGTGATGAAAATGAGTCAAAAGGAATAAATGACTATATCCGTGCTAGGGGCAAAGGATGCATCTTCCCACAGCCTCCTTACTTTACTCAGCCATTGGGAGTGCGGAGACTCCCCTTCTCTCTCTCTCTCATTTTAAATTGGAAGTTGGGTTGGTATTTTGTTAAGTCCTAACTCCTAGGCTCCCACCCAAATCACCATCACTCCCTTGACCCGCCCCCAGCACATACGTAAACAATACGCACCGTTTCCCAGGTAGAGCTGCAAGAGGTAGGTTGGTGGGGTATGGACAGGGCTGCAGAGAGTGTGCACACCTTTGTGAAAGAGGCCCTGCCTCGTGCATGTCAATAGTGAGGCTGCAGATGGCTTATTGTAAATAATGACAATGTAAATAGCTTTTTATTTCCTAAGAAATAATTTAATGTTTAGTAAAAAAGAAAACAGAAAAAAGAATGATGCGTGTGGTGGCTTTCGCACTCACCCTCCAAGTTGACCCACCCTGCTGACCCAGGCCTGTTTGATGCGTTGGACTCTGGATACTTGCCAGCTGTCTGTCACATTTAACTACCCCATCTCCACATCCACGCCATAGCTGGTTTCTGCTAAGTATATAATGGGAGGTGCGGGGAGAGGGCTTCATTGGGGCAGTTGGTGCAGAAAGGACTTCACTGACATCAGAGGACCTGGGAGCCATTTTTTTTTCAACAGTTGCAGTTGCATGCAGGAAGTTGCAAGATGAGGCCCAGAACTGAATGTTTTAAACTGCAACCCAGAGGGGGTGGTGCAGCTTCTGCCCTAAGACGAGAACTTGAGAATATTAGACTGAAATTTTTTTTTAACTCTAAAAATCCAGGCAGTGGATCTAAAGCTGTTGAAATGTGAAATGCTCATGGCAAACTATGGTCTTTCCTGAGCTCAGGTCCTTCGGGCACAAGGTTCAGTCCAGGCGGTGTCTGTTAGCATGAGAAGCATTAGAGAGGTCCAAGGAAGGTGGCATTTGTGGAATCTCAAGTCTACACAAACCCTTTAGGCCAAAGGGAGGTCTAGCCTTTCCTGATATTAGTCAAAGACAATTTTAGCAAAGCTGTGCTATTTGCCTGTCAGATGTACACAACTTCCTTAAAGTCAAATGTCTGCCTTCAGTTCCCTTAAGGTAGTTATTGCCCCTGGAGTGAGTAGCTTTCCAAGCTGATACTTGCTTTGCTGGGCCCTCAGCCCTTTCACATATTTAGCATACCAGTTCTTTTCCATAGAGATACTTAAGCCCACGCAGTGATCTTTGTTTCTATTTTTATTTTTAGGGTCCACCTGATCACACTTGTTTTAAAGAATGGTATCATATATATATTATATATGGAAAGGCCACATTTTGTACCTGCTAATTTCTGTGGGATGTCACTGGCATTCCTCTTCATGAGACCAAGGGAGCACGTGACAGAGAGAGACCTGGCTAGGTACAGCACAGCTCAGTGTGAAAAGTATCTCTACAGACCCCGCTTTTTTGTTTCAAGGGTTAAATGGAGCAGACAATTGCAATACTTGTACTAAACACTGGAATACAAATGCATGAGTCATATCTATATATACAGTATATGTACATATACTGTTCTTGGTTTTATTGTTCCATTTGAATATTTCTACTGTAAAAAAGACAGTGGTTTTGAAATTGTTGAAAATAAATGTATTTTTGTACCTCAAACCTACGTACTTGGCTGAACTTTCTCTCTGTGCGATTTTCATTACCTGTTGTATCCATCACATATCACTGAAAATGTTATAGGGGAGGGGAGGAATAACAACTGCTAGTTATCTTTTGCTTGTGAGTGTTCAGGTTGGCAGTGATTTGGATGACTTCATCGGGGGTGGGCCGGGCTCTGTGGGGCCCACAGGCTTCCAGCAGTCTGAATCTGCCCCGCAGTTCATCATCATCTTGAGACCAGCAACTACCTGGAAAGGCATTGCAGAATTCCAGGTGAGGCTAGAACACTCAGTGCCTTACTCTATTCAGCTTCATTTCTGCTCCATTGACTCTAAGAAACTCACATGGCCAGGTCAACATCAATAGCTGAAGGAAACAGATTCTTCCTTCTCTGGTACAAGGCACTGTGAAATCACAACAAAAAAGGTGAATATACATTCCCAATATAGGGAAAATCTAATTTACTACATCTGTTCATTTCACACAGCCCCGAGAGGAGCTTTCATTAGATGACCCACTTGAACCTATATCCAAGTTTACCATCCAAATGTGCATGGCCAGGACTTCTGAGCAGAAGTCTTGGCAATTACAGTGTCTTCGAGTCTGATGCAAGTCTGTTAGTCACTCTCCTGTCAATGGAGCAAATACCTGACAGCCACAGCTTAAGGGAGAGGAAGTTTAATGGCTCACAGTTTCAGAAGGATCAGTCCATGGTTTGTTGGCTCCAGGGTGAAAATGACATGGTAGAAGGTCCTGGCAAAGGTACACACTGTTCCAGATCGTGCTCCCAGGGATCCACCCTCCAACCAGGCTCTTCCTTCTACCTTAATGGATTAACCCACTGAAGAGTATTGCAACACCATGCGCCAATCATCGTCCAAAAGCCCCACTGAGTACATGAGAATTTGGGGGTAATGTTTAGATCAAAAGCATAAAAAGCAGTTTCCAGTGAGTGGTTAAGGTGGAGCTCCAAGTCTTAACTCCAAGGTTAAGGTGGACTCAAGTCTTGAAGACATGAGCAGAAGTGTGGCTAGTGGAGAAAATTAATAGGACATAGCTTTCTCATTTTCTTTTTTTTCTGCTGTTTGAAGGATTAAACAAAAATAGATCTCTTACTTTTTCCCTTTGCTGAGTGGGTGGCTCTTTTCTACATTGGACATGTAAAGGAATGTTAACTGCACACTCAGAACAAGGATTACGAGTTGGATGTGTTTAGTCCTTTCATGTTTAGGATACGTGATACATTTCCATGGATTCCAGAAACCCATGAAACTGGAAGTGTTGGTCAATAATCTGCTTACATGTTTTTGAAATTAGCAAAATATCCTAGAACTGTGTTTTCTGAGCTCAAACTGAAGATAAAGGATTAAACAAAGGCAGTTTTCTTTTGATGTAGGACTTTATTTAGAAATGATGCCGGGTGTGGTGGCACACTCCTGTAATCCTAGCACTCAGGAGGCTGAGGAGGGAGGATCATTGCACATTCGAGGCCAGCCTGAACTGCATAGTGACACCCTGTCTCAAAAAGACAAAAAAAGAGAAAAAAAACAAAGAAATGATGAATGATTATTGGGATAACTTTTCATGTGTTATCTTCATCTTTCCAAATTTTTATGTTGCATACATTCCTTCCTCAAATGTTGAGAATGCCACTTAAGTACTTCTAAAAGTAGTGATCTTCTGAGGTCTAAAGATTCATAAATCAAAATACCTATACTTCTTCAATGGATTTTTACTTTTTTATTTTAATGAAACTCCCAAATAATGTGAAGTGTCTAATATTCCTATCTCAGGGCAATGGTGAAATTTTTATTTGTGTAAGTTTTTGCTTTCCTATGGGTTTCAAATTCTTCTCATGCTAATTTTATCTTTGGGTTAGCAAAGTTGCTCCACCAGCCCAAAGAGGAGGAAAGCAAAATAAAACAGTATGTGTCACTTGGGTCATTTGGGTCCAAACATGGCTAAGAATATACACTCTATATCCACCACCAGCACAAGTCTAGATTTCCTAGTTATAGATGGAGGCAAAAGCAGAGTGCCGAGAATGTGGTTGGTTTACAGCTACTTCTATGCAGGGTTCTCAGAGGTGAGGAAACTGTATCAGAACTGTGTTCTTTAAGGCAAATCTAGACCTAGGAGCTAAGGCTGCTGTAACATTCCAGGGGGTAAAGTCCAGCTCTCAGCTCCCTAAGTATGTTCTTCCAGGTTTCTCCTGTGCATGGAAACTCAAGGATAACTGCTTTATCTGCCACTAAAATAGCTCAGGAAGAGGAATTAGGTACAATTGCCTCTTCTGATTCTTGTTATCTTGATACAGGCATCTTAACCTATGGAGGTGAGATGACCTTCCAGATTGCTCATCTGCTCACCTGAGGAAAAGCTGCAATTTTGAGAGTCACCCATTGTATTATCTGGGACAAAAATACTCTTCTAGTTAAGGGCCTTAGAAAGTATACAAAGTGTGGCCACAAAGCACAGTGAATGTTTAATTTAAATTTTAAAACATTATTAGACTAGAAGACACATTGCCATCCTGGAAGTCCTCCTCCATGAGTGTCCTTAGCTACACTGCCATGGCTGCCTTTATGTCCTAAATCAGTTCGAAACATTGACCTTTCGTGATCATTTTGACTTTAGGAAAGAACAAGAAGCCACACTGTCCCAGATCCAGTGAATAAGGTGGCTGAGAATGTACCCTGATGTTTTATGAACCTGCATTGCTGTTGGATGGCACTTTGGAAGCAGCATTCACTGTATGTTTGATTACGGCTTGTGAAGACACTCACCAAGGAGGACTCTGAAACTACATGAGAAAGTGCCAAGAACGGTGGGATAAGTGTGTTTGAAGTGAGGGGCCATCTTTCAAGGGAAAAATGGCAACGTGTCTTTTACTGGAACAAATTTTATTTAAATATTATATTTTTTGCTTAGTCCTTGTGCTGAGCCAAGATGTAGGAGGGCACCGACTTTCAGTGAGTAAGTCTGGCCACCACTACCCTATTTGTAAAAGACAAACAGCTATGGCCTGTCTTTCTGGCTTATTTTGGTCTCGAGCGATGGGAAAAGCAAAATGTTAGTTCCAAAAGCTCCAAGAACTTAGTAGTGAGGATGGTACCAGAGAAACTCCTTTCTGTAGATGGACAAACAGAACCCAGAGATGAATGTGATTTTTCTAGCATTGTGCAGTAAAATCACTATTGAGCTACACATAGAAACCTTGTCTTTATAACAACGGCTGGTTTTTCCTACCATGCAGGCATCCTTAAAAATGTGAAAACAATTAAACTTTGATCACCTAGTCAGTAGGGAGCCTGGTAGCTATGCCAATACAGCTCACATAATGATAACACCTACCAGAAAGGTTTAGAATGTTACTTCTTTATTATCTCTATGCTCATTCAGCAGCTTGTTGACCTCCTGCCATTTACCTGCTGAACCCTTGGCTAGCAGTGCATAGCCTGATGCCTTGCTTCCCCCAGCGTGGAAGTCATGCTGCTCAGCAGACAGTTGTTCACTGTGTTGGGCGTTTGCCCTTGTGCAGAGGGAAGAGGCCAGATTACACACACAATGAGACACCTCATTCGGACACATACCGGCTCCGGCTGAATTCTGTCCACTCCAACAGTACCCCAAAGAGTGCCAGCTACAGCCCAGTGAAGAGTCTCAAAATTCAACTTCATCTTAATGTCCCTTCAACTGACTTCAGTTACTATCTTTTACAATAGCAGGATGTCCTTTAAAATGCTCTTTCCCTCTGTTTTCAGACCATATATCAAAAGATAGAGGTTCATGGAAAGAGGAAAAGATGGAACACATTTTTTAAAAAACTCAACTAGAGTTTATTTCACATGCAAAATCCCCATAAAACTTGGGCCTATCACTTTTTAACAATCTGAACCCTAGAGGGTTAAAATTGAATAAATGGGACCCAGCTTTCCTACTTATAAATTTCAGTTCATGGCATCTCTTCTGCAGCACTGGAATCCAGATTAAACTACACAATTTGGGTAAACATAAATAATGAATTGGCTGTGTGATGTTCTAGTCTGTTGCACTGGGCCCTTGTTCATATAGCACAATATCTGGCCTTAAGTGTAAAAAATATCGTCTCACCTTGGGCTATATCCTACAGGGGGGCGGGAGGCAGAATTACCTGGAGAGATAGGCCAGCTCCCTCTGGAAGAGAATTTTGGTTAAAATGTACTTCTTGCACATTGATTTCAAAAGTCATTTCTTTTGTTGTTTCTTTTTCTTAGTGTAACTGATGTGGTTTTGCTTAGACCATAAAGATGGATTCTGCTTATTCATGCTGCCAGGGCTGCGGGAAACTTTAAAGACTGGAGGGCATTGTTCCTAAACCTGCTCCCCCTTACCATGGGGAGGCGTCCTGAAAACACCCGTGCTAATGCCTGGACAGAAACAGTTGGCCTCGCTTGCTCACATGTCTAGACTCAGGCATTTTAACAGAACTGGCCCCTTTTTTACTCTGCCTTCTTGTACAATGCTTCTGTGGTAATATGGGGAGTTCCAAGCTCTGGGGTCCTTCAAAGCCTCCTGGAGGTCACTGTCTTGGGATCCTATGTTCACAAACATTGGAAAACAGTAAGGTAGATAAATTATTTGTAGAAAGACACCTTTTAGATCCTCAGCGGTGCTGATGACATAGTTACAGAATGCCTTCAACTTGGTCACAGTGCAAGGACAGCTGTTCCACGGAGCACATGCAAGGATGAGGATTCTTTGCAAAAATGTCAGAAAGGACAAGAAAATAGGCCATGATAGGCACACAAGCCATCTGTTGTTCCAGCTTAGTCTCTGGGGAATGTCTCTATTTGCAGCTATTAGAAATGAACCAAAAGAGGTGGCCCTCAGTTGACTTGTTACAGAGTCCCCAAAGAATAGAGATTTGTTTAGCTCAAATGTCTATGTCCAAAATGTCTCTTTTACAGAAGGCTGCTGGACTCCAGTGATTTCTTGCTACCAAAAGGTCCTG